AAATTCTGATGCCAACTCTCTTCAGTGCTCATTAGAGGCGTCATTGAGCCATAAAGCTTATTGTTATGACCATGGCAGAGAAAACAGTGCTTTCAGGATAACCTCGCCATACGAGACAGCGTTACTCTGCAGTTAAGCTGAAGTTAAACAGAAAGATGAAACAAACACACATTAGGGGAGGAAACATGTTTAGGTCCATTAAGAAAATATTCAAAGGCAAACATGTCCAAGCAAATGTCAGAAATGTGTGCATGTATATAGCAGCAATTTGCACAACTCTGCTGCTTTCATGCTTCAGAAAAGTCTGACTAAACAATAGTACAGCATGTTACCAGCCTCAACCACAACTGGCATGATTCCTTAGCGTCTGTGGTTCGAGAAAATCCACAGTGAAAGCTTTTTGACATCCATCACTCATGTGTTTCGTGCAGAACAAATATGCTTCCGCTTTATCTGATCTATCAATCCGCACTCTCTCCACATCACATGCGTGGGAAATACATCACTCCGAATGGCCATTACAGCTTCCAGCCTCATGCTGTTTATGTGTTCAGAGTTTGTTCATAACATTAAACACTTCCGACATAAAATCAACAGTATTAAGTCAAAAATACTGTTGTGGATAAATAGATATTCATTTCTTCTGGGAAACATGATGATCCTTCAAAAAAATCCCTCATTTTAAACAGATGCAGCTAGACGTTAACCATTTTTTAAAGACGATGCTTAATTAATATTATCATATTTACTTTAGTAACACCTATTTTATTTCAATTTAGACTTTTTAAAATAATCTTTGTAAATGCATCTTTAAAAAATCTGTCAGATTTGACAGATCAATAAGCAGGACATCATCAAGTTCACTGATATTTCCATTAGATGCATAAAACATTGAATATAGAGCTGGATTTAATATTAAAACAAAGTCATTATTTAAGCATCAATGTGTGCAAAATTGCAATTGCAAAATACGTTTAACAAAAATGTTCCATGCCATTTTTGTACTTCAGGTCTATTGCCTGAAGAGTATCAATACTATAGTAGTCAGGTGGTTCAGCACTTCTTTATCCTTACTGGCTACAATGAACATACATGACTAAGATGCTCAGGGAAAGAAAGGAGCGACTTTCTCTTTCTTTTGATGAAGGCAAAGAAAGCAAAGAGTGAGGAAAATAGAGGTTTAATCTCAACTTGAGGTATTGTGGCTTGATAAAAGATCTAGACAAAAATAAATGCTGGAACCAGACAAAACTTCAGTGAGCAGTGCATTTGGAGAAGAACTTCTTGAGAAGCTTCTAAGTTGTCATACGGATGCAGGAATGGGGCTCAACTGGTTGCTTATTATGAAGGGTTGTTATAAGAAGAGCAATATCAGAGGCTCAGAGCTGCTTGGCTGCAAATTTACTGGGTTACTATATTTCCAAGGACATGCTGTAATACTTAAACTTAATACTTAAAAAATACTCAAATGACTTGGATCCAGGTTTACTACACTCAATTTCCCACATCTGATTTATAAGTCATCTTAGTATTCAATAAAAATAATGAAATTGTTATGATATCATGTAGTGCTCAGAACTGCTTCAGTAGAAATGATTTAATCTTGAAACATTTGAGTTTTTAAAACGTATTGCATTGAGAAGCAAAAAAGTGAATCGATTTTAAAGCAACATATTTATGTCTCTTTGTGAGTCTGTTTTCCGCTCTATTGGTAGAAATTGGCATAAGCTACTATATTAGCGAAAACTCGTCTAATACAGAAGCTTCCTCTGGTCCCATATGATAACTGTGCATTCATGTTAAATCAGCTGTAAAAATCCTGTACTACGTTTTGTATGAGTTTGTGTTTTACATGCTATTTCAGTGCAATGCTAATGGCTTTACAGAGTGCCGGGCATTTTAACAGAGCCAAGGAAAGGCTTGTAAAACACACACAGTCACCACAAAGCAGAAAAAAAGAAAAAAAAGAGGCTGGCATATTGAGGCACGGTGGTCTGGTGGGAGACCGTGTGCGAGTCTGAGTGTGTATTAACAGGGTCAGTCAGGGTTATGGCGACACATGATGAAGGAAAATGAGAAACACCGTCCTGAATGAAAGACTGCCAGTGTGTTCTTTGCAATTGTGTGTAAGCTTGGTTGGTGGCTTAAAAAAAAAAAGTGAAAAAGTCCACGCATGGCGCCAAGTGGCACTGCCTGACTCTGGGTGGGTTTGGACAGAGAAATAAGCAGAAAGATTCAAATTGTGAAATGAATTGCTGTTAAGGGAAACATCCCACTGAAAAATATACCTTGCAAAGGCTTAAAAACCTCAAAACAGGCTCTGTAATGGAGTGAATGAGATGTGAATAAGAAATACACTGTTGATGTAATGACTTTGGGATAAATGACCCTAATAGGAGGACTGGAAAGAAACTCCAAGGGCAAAATGAAAAGAAACACATGAACACAACTAAAAGGGGGACATTTCAATCTAAAAGTTAAAATCGTTTCATTCTGAAAGTTTGATTTTTTTTCTAGGGATACCTGATACCTGTGTGATACTTTTAGAAAAATAATGCATTGCATAAATATAGCCTAGGTGTTCACAAGTCATTTTTCCAAGTCTCGACTCCAAGTCAATTATCTAATGAATGAATTAAAAACCTTTTCATAAAATCTAGGTCACTTCATAACCTTGTTGCAGACTCGTGCTTTTTGTAACTAGGCCTAAATTACCACAAACATTTAAAGGTTTTTTAAATGCCGTGTTGTAATATTTTCCTATTTAATTCAATACGCAATAAATACAAATGAATGTAATAGTTACCCCCATTAGAAATATGTTTATACGACAAGAAAACAATAGAAAGAGATTAAAACCCAGCAATATGACGTTTTTTGTCTTTGTAATAACTAAGACAAATAAGGTGACTAAGATTTTTATATTAACCACAATTACATATTGCAATAAATATGGTTTGGGGGGTTTTCTTTTCCTCACTCCGCGCTGGAGAATTTTAAATAGTATCGGGAAAAAAAAGTTTTCTAAATTCAGATTGAAAGCCCTAACTCCCACTTCTTAATAGTTGAGCTTTTCAATACAAAGGGAGAAAGACGGGCTCTGATTTTGGTATTTTCAGCTTGGATGTGTCCTTGTAATGACACAGTTAGCTTACCGTGTCAGAGGCAGGTCATGTTTATTTCTTTCTGAAGTCCAAAGTCATTTAACACAGCGTTCATTTTAAGAGACCTTCATGTGTTTATTATAAAGCTACAGCTAACATGAACAGATTGCTATGAGTCATTAACATCCCATAAGCCACCAGTGTCACTGGCTAATATACAAGCAAGTTCTTTCAGTTTTGAATCCAATATGGCCGCTTCCCATGTAACTTGCAGTGAAAGTTGTCAGTGTGACTGTTTAATGACAGTTTTATCTCATTAAAACTGTGGGACATTTAGTACCCAAACAACTATTTCTTTTCTTCATTCATCTTCAAGGGAGAAAATGGAGAGAAAACTATTGTCAATAGTTTTCAGCACCAAAACAAAGAACAAATATCACTGTTTTCCCTCAAACGCGACGTCCTTTTCAGCTTCGAGCGCCAATTTCTAAGACAAATCAAACACAAAATTGTGTTTTTCTATTTTGGATTGAATAATACATCGTCAGAAGTTCGACTCTGGACATATTGTTTTCATTGCCTAAATCTTCTAAGTTCTCCATAACGCTATCCTTAATTTTCCAGCTGTGTTCTGTGATTGTCATGATATGGTGTCCTCACTGATGGTCTTTAACCAACCAATCAGCTGGATTTACACAGGTTATAGATTGCTGTGTGATACAGCAGCGCTTCTTCCAGAGAATCCCGTAAAAATCAAGAGAGTGAAACACAGCACATTTATAAGGAAGTTAGGATCATTTTTCATCTGAGCTGTACGTTTGACTTGTTTGTAACCATGAACAGTCTGCATTCCTTATTAGATAAGCTTTAACAGCTGCCCACATAATCAGTTTTAATAGAGCACGCTTTGCATTTAAAAACTAATGTCTGACCCCAAGACCACAAAATAAAGTCTGCATTTCGGGCTGATGATGAAAAATATGCGTTATATGTTTCTGTCTGAGGAAGTCCCGCAGAAATGGTGAATGTGCCCTGGGATTAAATGACAGCTTGATTCTCTATTTTCCGAGTTTATTCAAAGCGACAGGAAACCATGCTACGCCATATGTGAAGCGCTCATGCTAAACAGAGACGTTTCTCAGCATTGAGACGTACAATAAGGCTTTCATGGAGACTGTAGGAAACTGGTAACCAAACCGCATACTCTGTCACCGAGCTGCGCGAGTGTGTCTGCGTCTACAGTTACCGCTTTCAATGCATACCACATGTAGCAACCATGTTTTGGCTGATATGTTTTCAATATGGAGAAAGAGGAAGCCTTCGACAGACCCAATTTGTTTAATTGAATAATGCACTGTTTGTATTGAAAGCCTGAAAACACAAGTGGTTACTATGATAATGCAGCTACATGAAGGCATTCCCTGAGCCCCAACTTGTCTTCTCACTGCTCCGATTTTGACAGCAAAATAAAAACTCTTCCACTGTCTTGCTGCTCCGAGCTGCACATGAACCCACCTTCCTCATCCTGCCAACGAGCTGAGGCAGAGTGTACTCCCTGCACTGTGCAATGAAATAAAATGTCTTATCCGGTATTTGTTGTGCAGCCAGGTGCTTGTCAACAGGTGACCTGCTGGAGTAAATTTCTTTACAAGTGTCAAAGGTAATGCCAAAAACCTGCCAAGCCAACCAGTGTGGGCCTTGTCTTCCACTTATACTCATGCCAAGATGCGCACATCAATGCATCGAGTAAGAGCACAGTCACCCTGGGGCCAGTTTTACAACCTGAAGAAAACATTTTTTCATGTTCTGGGTAGTAATAAGCTTAATAATCTCACAAATTACAACAAAAATAACATTTTCTCTTATCTTCACAATTATCCAAAACAAAACCCTCACCTGCTCCTCTGACATGCTGTGCAGCTGCGTGTGCCAGGAGGCGGAGTCAGAGCGGTGATAAGATGGGGGCGGGGCAAAGTCCTGCAATATGATTGGGTCACGCTCCTGACACAGGGAGGTCAGGTGACTTATGTACAGCTTCAGTTTATTGCGATTCTGATTGAGGTCCAGGAGAGGAGAGAGAATCTACAGGAGGAAACAGAAAAATATGTTTAATTAATAAAGATAAAAATACGACAAAACAATTTAAATCACAATCTTGATGGCTGGTTTAAGAGTTTACAACTCAGGGAAACGGAAGGGCATGCAGATGTGGATGGAAGTGGGTGAAACGCAGGCTTGAAAAGTATTTTAGTGTGGAAAATACAAAAAAAGTATTAATTTCAACCAGGATGAGTAGAAAGCACTGAAAGAAGTTTGCATAACCAGGATATTGTGACTTGTCAAGTCAAGTAAACAACGCACTTGGGTTACATGGTGAACTGGATGTGTATTAGTTGTGACTTAATTAAGAGTGTCAAAACAATGGCAAACAGGAAGGCCACAGTAGTTGAACTCATGTAAATCTTCCACAGAATTTAAAATGCAGTCAAAACTTCTACATCTTCAGGTATATTATAAAACGGCTTTGTTCTGTATTCATACTCATCAAACCTTTTCACATCTCGTCTTGTTTGAACCATAAACTCGATGCATTTCAGTAAAAGTTTTAGTGACGGACCAACACAATGCAACATAACTGGGAAACAGAGAAAAAGAGTTTGTGAAGTGTTTGGCAAAAAACAGAAAAAACATGACATTTTACTTTGTCCCCGTTGTTCTAATACGGCTGATTGGTTTCAGAAGAAACCCAATTAGATCCTAGTAGAGTGAAGGTTTAACTCCAAGCAGGATAAAAAACAAGCTGACTTGATATTTCCTAAAACTAAAAAGAAAGGGAGAAGAGTTAAGTCTCTAAATGGCCAGAGCTGGTCGACACATTCTCCAGAACGCCTCCAGCTCTATTTGTAGTAGAACTTGGTTCTACAAAGACTCAGATGGGTTGAATGCAAACTCTCACCACATTCTTTGTAAATGCACAACATATGTACCTTTTCCCCTTCCACTTCACAAGAATGCCTCACTTTGTGTTGGTCTACGACGAAAAAACTCAGAATGAAACACTGAAGTTTATTCACGCTATTCCAAGACATTGTTTGTTACTGAAAGTAAAGAGAATAGTTCCACTTTCCACTTGTTCACTCTGTATGTTAGTACATACTTTTTACATGATAAACTTTAGGTTAAATAAAAATTAGAATACAGCAACAATAGGTTCCTGATGTGTGTCTGCTTAGCGTGGGAACGAGGATGAGAAGAGTGACAGAGATGCAAGCATTGAAGGGTTCTGAGACAAGACCCCCCATGAGACGTGGCCATGACAGACACACACTCACACAGATAAAACAAACAGACCAAACTCTTCCCCTTGTGGAATACCAGGTTTTAAGTGCAGAGGAAGCATTTTAAGAGGGGAAGCAGTGTGAGTGTGTGTTAGCAAGCTATATTTAACGCTGCAATGCGTCTGCGATGGCCTTCTGTGCTCATCGTCACTCAGCAAACACACAAAGAGAATTAAAAAGTAAGATCCTTTCCCTCGGCGCAGTGACTTCATTTTGTCTGTGTGAACTCCGTCTTTAGCCGTCACTCTTTTCAGCGTTCAGATCCAAGGATCTGCACATTGTTATCCCGTCTCTGTTGACTTTCTTTGCTGAAGCGCTTTATTAAGATGGTATTGCAAACCGAATGTCCATTTTGCATTGTTATGTTGACTGTTCTTAGCAGATACTCCTTAAAACAGCCTGTCTGACCAGGTAAGATTGGCCAGCATTGTTCACAGCATTGTGTAAAAGTTGTGGCTAATATTTTTATAATTTGCTTCTAGTAAAATTTTAATTTAATTAATTTTCCTCTTATAAAACAGATTTAGCCTTTTGGAGCAATAAATGGTCTTTTAATCAATTCAAAGAGATGAATGTCCCATCAAATCCCATCAAACAAAATAATTTGTTGCCCGTTTGTTATTGGAAATATGACGAATACCAATAACAAAGTTCCACATGTAAGTAAGAGATTAACTCAGAGAAAATGATTCTCAAACAGCCGTTAGCTGAAAACTTGGCTCTGGATGCTTAACTGCATCGGCTTTGTTCTCTTGTTCTCTATAGGATTCGACTTTATGAAAGTGTTTAAGCTCCGACATTTCTTCTTTTGTCCTCCAATTGTCCAATTTTCGAATTCTTTAAGCAATCACTGCACCAATGCTGCTATGGTCAGAAACTAGGACTACACTGAAGATTAGTAAAAACGCTAAAGAAAAGACCTCAGAGATCAACACACACAAAAACTGTCATTTCTTACATTTTGATTATGAGTCTACAGATAACTGACTTTAGCACTGTGACATGAGCGCTCAGAAGAAACTAAAAGATACTGAAATAAAGTGACAATTCAAGATGACACAAAGCCTTTCAGAGAATAAAGCCTGTCATATCGCTTCATAGATGTAAACACAGCGGCAAAACTATTGTTTCGAAGAAGTTATGAGGGACATAAAACATTTGCAGAGGACCGCATGTAAGCTTCAACAGGCAAACGAGCCAGTTAGCAGACGATCCAACATCGATCGGTTACACAATGGCTGCCATCTTTTCATCTAAATACTGAGGTATTATGTAGCCATCATAAAAAAATATGATGTTCTTGTAACAGACACTTTTTGACATTACATGCAATAAAGGTTTTGTTGTAATTCTGTCCCCTGCTCTCTTTATAAAGCAAGAAAATTTTGCTGGATTTCAGCGCAGTCCTTTTCATTCCTTATAAGAATGAAAAGTTCCTGAAAAAGCAAAAAATGTAGGACATTTTCAACTACTTCAGTAACTTTGTGTGTTTTATAACGCTGGCAAAAAAAAAATAAATCGATGATGATGTGGGTGGTTTTCACGCTATATTCTTTGAGCACTCTTGTCTCTGCATTGAATCTGCAATAAAAGCTAACAGTGAATCATAGTATCTGTCACCTTTAATTTCCTCTTATTGACAGCTACCACAAAAACATTAATACACGCCTACACATGTGCACCCTGGATGTAATCCTGAGCTGCTCCTCATTATCTCCACAAGTCATAGGAAGCAGCTTCTTGGACCAAAACTGCTGGTTTCTTACACACACTAAACATGTTTACACTAAATATATATTTCCAAATATGTTATTTGTGCATGCAATTACTCCTCCAGTGCACACACACTCAAATGCACTGCATTTTAGGACTGCTATCAGCACAGAGATAAGCTCTAGATGCAATATTTTGCAGTGAAGGACTGTCAGTAGGAAACGGCCCATTAAAATAATCTGTGCTGTCTATTTCCCTTTAGTGGTAAAAAAAAAAGAGTTTGAAGGAGAAGTGAGGTATAAAAAATGGAATAAAAGACGGCAGGGTTTCATATTCTGGGCTGTAAAACTTCTACACTGCCCATACGAAGACAGTTCTACGGAGTTTGCTTTACAGCCCCAAAATAAACCTACCATGTGGTCAACAGCCGCTATCTCACACTTTCTAATTTATATTATTCTGTCAAACAGCAGAAAAAAGAAATTCCCTGTCAACACTTTCCAGACATGAAGCAAAGCTCTGAGGATCAAACACAAGACAAACTAGAAACAGGCACCAAGAATGGAATGAATGAAGTGGTTTGAGGAAGACATTTTTAGAGAAATTAAAACAGTGCTCTGTTATGTTTTTCCACTAATCTATCTAAAAAGAAAACAAGATTTGAAAAGAAATATGAAAACTAAAAACACTAAATCTGAATTTCAGAAACGCTGTGAATTCAGATGCTTTCACTCAAAATATGGCAATACGAACCAATACGTTTTAGCAGTTTTTCACAGACATGATGGCCAAGTAATCAGTGTGTGTGGTTAGTGGGTCTGCAGCGGTTTTCAGTGTCTTGTGAAACAATCCCCAGGGAGGTAGAGCTTTATGCTGCGCTGTGAGTCAGAGGGTGAGCTTGAGCCGCTTTATTAGGCACTCCTGCGTCCCTACAGGTTTCTCACTGTAGTAAGAAAGAGCTCTAAAGAGAGGCATATGGCAAACTCTGCTGACTGGACTCAAAGAAAGAAAAACACTACGGCCAAATGATACGATGAAACCAGAACTATTTATCCCTCATAGAACTGTGAAGAACTTGTGCTCAAAAAGACATATAAAGCAACTTCTAATGTTGTAGGCATCCCTGGTAAAGATGTGAAGAAAACTTAAAATAAATGGCAGTTTAACAATAAATTTACTCAAGATAATCTAAAATGCTGCTGGAAGAGTCCTGACCAACACCAGGAAAATGGATCTCATCACATTTTCATGCACTGGCTCCATATTTGATTGATTTTAAAATACATCAGCCTTCAAATGGAGAAATCTGACTTTTAATATTTTCATATTAATGTCAGTTTGTTTTATGCAATGCTTTTATCCTTTCGCATCATTAATGGCTTTCTGTCTTTTCATTGTCCTCCAATAAAGCACTTTGGACTGCCTTCTGTCTGAATGGTGCTATCAAAATAAACTTGCCTTGTCTTATGTTTTCTTCTCATTAACTCAGTCCACAAAAGGCTGATTTTGATTCATTGCATTTGGATTTTGCTTCATGTTTGGCATCATTATTTCGTTGAGTTATTTTATTGTATTTTTTTGGAGATCACCAGTTTTTAAAACACTTTAGTATTGAATGCTAATGGTGCCATGTACTCTAACAAGGGCTTTTGGAAGAGAAATAGGCCACAGCATAGCATATTCACCATTTCATTACAATGAGATGCTTTTCCATATATTGATCCTTTGCTTCAGTGAAAAATAGACAGACATGGATGTCATGGAGACTTGGTGACCCATAGATGCTACTTTTACATCTCTAACAAGCTTTGGAGAGTTGAATTCCTGCCATCTGATCCTCTTATGGTGACAAGATGCAACTGTCTTACAACAATTTATTTCGTTTTCATTTCTTGTCTTATGGAGATCAACACACATTTCCTGGACTTGATCTGCATATTTTCTCTTTCCCATTTGGAAGAGCTGCTGGGGGAAATGAACTGCTTGTATTTCCAATAGAAACACAAGGCAACACGTTATTAATTGAGAGTTTCTGAACTTCAAAAGTAATGCATAAAAAAAAAATGATTCGGAATCAAAATATGTATTTTTTTTTCCTCAATTCTTAGTTTTAAATTGTTTATGCTCACAAAATAAAGAGACTAACTTCATAGCACAATTTAAATTTAATGTAGCATGTCTAGCACAACTTATGGCCATAAAGTGTTCTCAACAATGCTTGGCATGTGTTAAAACTGCTCTCCTGTGCTCCTCTGCTGCAGCTCAGAATCCATCTTACAGACATACACACAAGGACTCACTGTTTGGATGAAATGTACTATGGCAAATTAACCACCTCACAAACCAGAAGGAAGGTGATGGTGGTAGAAAGGGAAGAAAAGATGGCAGACAGACCTGCAGGAAGGTGCTACATCTAATTAATAAAAAGGGCTCAACTTAGATCTGCTAGAGAATCTTTGAGTTGTCAGCATCTTTGTGCAGTGGCAATAAATAATGTGGTATTATTTTGCTAACACCAGAGTTAAAGCTATGACGCCTAAAATCTTTCTAGTAGTACATATATTCTTACAAATGAACAATAATGAACATTTCCCATTGCATTCTGATAACCAGTCCAGCAACAGGTTCTCAGAAGATACTATGCAAGGCCCCCCTTTGCCTCCAGGTCAAAACACCATCTGTTTTTTCAGCGGCATGAAGGAATGCAGGAGACGGGTTCTCTGTAGAGATCACAGTGTACTGTTAAGCATGTAATCCTACATAGTAATTTTAATCTGACACATGGAAACCAGCACATCTACCTCAGCGAGTGCAGTCAAACAGAATTATACATATTAAAAAATCTAAAACTTTGTCTTTATGCACAATTTGGGGGTGTTTGAGGTTCTCCCAATATGTTAGCCCAACTTCTACGAGTGAGAAGCTTGGAAATGATAGCTTCTTTATTTATTTTTTTCCCTCGGGAATCGACTATTAATTTTAGCCTGCTTTCTGAGAACCATTTAATTGCAGGTAGGCGTTTAAATGTGTGTAGGAGTTTTGGTTACAATAACTTACACTAAGACAAAAGCTTCCTGTCAAGTGTGTTTACAATGAGACTGTAGCACACAAAACGGCCCATCCCACTTAAAAGTTTGCAATGATCAATCCACAAAGGTGCATGCAGGGATGCATTATGCATAAGATACTGCTGCCGTTACCAGGCTCCTCCAAAGAGTACTTAAAGCACACTGTATTATTCATTTATGTTTCATGTTACAATGTTTGGTCTTAATTCAATGTGAACAGAATTAAAAAATAACTAGAATGTCAGAAAAAGTGAAAAAAAAGAAACTCTTTATGTAACTTGCAGATGAGAAATTTTCGCCTGACACAAACACAACATGAATGGAGATCAATACTGAATTCTGGTGTGCAGAAATGGCACAACACAAAGAACAAGTAAATTTAAAACGTGGACAGGAAAAAACGATTTTCAGATAAAACAGAAGAAGCCACGAAAACAAGGAGGAATTTAATCAAGATTAAAATGTTCTCCTGTTTGAAGAATGATGAGGAAAATAGAAATGAAAAACCATAAATCAAAAGAACACAGCAAAATGTGTGAATATATATATATAAAGAAAGAGCAACACTGAAGGTCAGAAGACAGAAGCCAGAGTGTGATCATGGATGAGAGAAGAATGTAAAACAAGAGGAATGACACAAGGACACCAAACAGTGACCTGATCCAGGGAAAGACGCTCACCCTTCTGTACAATATGGCAGACTGAGGGTGAAAAAGAAGGCATGTGATTGGCTAGGCCCAAATACCCTCTTCATCGTCCTATTGGTTAGTTCAGTCCAGCCGTAGCGTGAGTTCAGAAAAAGCAGGAAGTTAGTTTGAGAAAGACACTGTGAGTACAGCATTACCAGAGTTATTATTTAGTCAAAATGCTGTCCAGTAATAATATTAAACAAAAAATTATAGAAAACAAAACAGGTACGTAATGAAATAAGCTTGTGGTTGTGGGTACCTGATCAGGGGAGGGCTTGTGGTTGTTGGGCAGGTCAGAGTTTGGAGACGCCACTTTCAGATGGTCGTCCTCATAGTTGTTGGCCATCAGCTTCATCCTGTTCTGTGTCTGTAGAAAAAAAGTTAAATTTGTCCTTTAAAAGAACGATGAGAAACCACGTAACCTGGAGTGACAAGTAATGTGTTTGAGTTCAATGAGATTAATACACCACTGATCTTTAGCTGCTTTTAAAGTCACAAATGTTGTGCAGTGTGTCTCCATCGGTTTTGTACGCCTCATGAATTTAAAAATGGCTGCTTTATGGCTATTGTTCCATTTGGTCATATTTTAAGTTTTGGTCGGTAACCATGTCTTAATAGGTTTGTAGCTTTCTATTTTCAGATGATGGATCATCTCTAATGCTCGGAGAGATGATTAAAACTTTGGATACTGTTTCATATCCTAACCCTGCTTTCATCAAAACTTAATCCCTGATCTGTGTGCTGTGGTTCTTGGTTTTATCGATGACCAAGAAATGTTCTGCAAGAAACCTCTGAGGCCTGGAGAGCTTAGAGGTATTTATACAGAGATTAAATTAGTCACAGTTTGGGTTTACTAACAAACAGTGAACCAGTGATTGAAATGCATTTTATTTAGGAATATCAAAGTGATTTTTTTTTTGTTTAATTTGGGGAAAAAAAAGATAAAACAGAAAAAAAGAAAAAGTGTTTCTCACGTTTTATTTCTTAAATATGCCCTAGTTTGTGTTGATCACATAGAATAAAGCAAAACACAACAAGATTTGTTGTTGTAACTTGAATAAGTGCATACAATCTTAAATCAATGTACACTGATTCACAAGCATATCAGCAATAATCACACCAATAGTCTGCAACTTGCCTCAAATACTTACACACATAAAGCATTTATTTACCAATGAAGCAGAGAGCTGTGAGTTTATCGCTTGGGGGGAGATTTATATCGACTCATACTAGACCGAACACAGATCTGTAAATCAAATCACAATCACACTTTCATCAGCGCATAATTTTATTTTCTCATTTCTCATTTTCTTTCTTTTCTCCAATTATCACCTTGTCATCATCTCCTCACTCTGCTGACTACATTCCCACTCCCATCTACTTTTCCGGCTCCTCTTACTGTCTCACGGCTTTATGCGTTTCACACGTTTTACTTATACTTTGGGTTTTGCAGAAGGCCTGTAAAGAGTTGGGGGGGATTTAGAGATAAAAAGTGAGGGAGGGCCTGGATCCAAATCTGTTGGTGTTGTACAATCTAAATCCCCTTAGTCTCTCACTGAGCGCTTCAAGGAGCCGGGGCTTAAAGGGACCAGACTCAGGTTTTGCGTGTCTGTGTGTGTACTGTATGTCTGACATGAAGAAAGAAAAATGTTACATTTCTCAGTGTCTGTTTGAAGAACCAAATGAAAGATTTGACTTTTTTTAGAGCTAAGAAGAGCGCAAAAAACATGTCTGTGTCCTCACATATTTCAAATAGTTGAAAAAAACTTTCACTTCAGACAACGATAAGAAGAGTAAATACGCAAAGCAGTTTTAAGTGATAGTTTCATTTACTATGGGGGGAAAGGCTATCCAAACCACACTGCCCCAAAGTCAAAATATACTTATCTCCTTTGTGAACTCACAAATTAACTGTGATTAACCACATTTCCTTTGGTTCAATTTCACCTACCAGAGGCTTGATTGAGTAATCCCTTAAATAGAGCCCGGGAGACAGCATGAAGTAGGCCAAACATGTCCTGACCTCAAGAAATTCAAGAACAGATGAAAAACAAAGCAGGGTTTTGGGCTGAACTGCGTCATTACGGTGGTTTGTTGGCGTCAAATGTTGAAGTTTCCAAGGAGTGACAAGCGGACCAAAATGCCTTCCAAGAGCCCGTCAACAACTCACCCAGGAGGTCACAAAAGTACCCAGAAAACCTAACGCATTGCAGGCTGCATTCGCCTCTGCTAAGGTCAGTGTTCATGATGCAACATTAAGAAAGAGACGCTGAGAATAACCAGCATCCATGAACTACTTTTAAAGCTAAAGTTGACCAAAAAGGACATAAAATCCCTTCTCACATTCACCATAAAACAACATATCTTAATCATTTTTAGACAGACAATGCAAAAGTTTAACCTTTGAGAGTTTATCTTTGTTGTAAAACCAACAGAGCGTTCAGAAAGTAACATTTCATCAACAGTCAAACCTGGTAGGCGTAATGGTGAGCCTTCTTTGAGTTTTCTGACCTTCACAACTTGGCTTAATTGACATGAACCATAAATTTTGCAATCAACCAGAATATCCTCAAGGAAAACATTTGTTTTAGTTTGTGACCTTAAGCTTAGGTCACAAAGTAAGACTATTCAGCAAGAAAATGATTCAAAGCGCACCAGAACATTGGGGGAAAATTCCTCCATAGTTATTAAGTGAAGGGAACAAATGTCACGCAGTGCATGATTGAAAAGCTCGTATACCTCAATAAATGAAATCATAATTTCTAAGATGTTTTTTTTTTTCAGGTTAACTTCAGAAAAAAATTGAGAACAGAAGAGAGGCAATACTTTTTGACTATTTGACTTCTCCTCGACATCCTGTTTAAACGCCACAAAGACAAAAGTTTCTACTATTTATTGTTGGAATCAGGAGGTGGTGGTTGGAAATCATATTTCCAACACTTCTGCCATGCAGTCGAGTTTTGAGAGATAAGAGAAACATTATTTTCAAGAGAAACCCATATTCCCCAAACTAATTCACTTAGCATCTTTTGACACTGAGATAAGCTGAATAAAATCAAACAAACCATGTCGTACCAATTAAACAATTGGTAATCACTTTCTCTTCTCATTTTTATTGAGATGTAAAACCAGTTGGTCAATCAAGCTGTGGCGTCTCTTTGAATTGGCCTAAAATACTCTCAGTTGAAGTCGAATCAGAATAATTCACAAGAGAGATAGTTTGTGCTTTTTGCATGGGAACAGAAGAATGATTACAGATGTTATGATATAAGGTTACAGGGAAAGCTATACTGACAACCCTGAGTTAGAGCTATGTTGTCAAACATACCTTGATGTAGCTTATTTAATATGAGATCACAGGCCAAAATACTAAGTCACACACTGTACCGACTGAACTATCCAGACTGCGTGTATCAAGAACAACGAGTTCCCCACATTCTTGGTCAGGTGCCACTGGACATTTGAGAAGATATTTTATTATCTCATCACAGCTCAAAACATTTACAGAACAGATTAAGCATTTTATAGCAAATCTGATGCTAGACCACTTCTGATGAGGGTCATTCTGATTCACCGAGGTGACCTTACAGTTAAATCTTGGATTACAGCCATGCCGAAAAAAATAGCTAACAACCTGGATGCGACTTCCACCACTTTTATGAAAAGTGTAGTGCTTGAGATTCCCTTTACTCTGAACTAGAGAAGAAATCAGTCAGAACCAATTTATTCTATCAGCTCTCGGGGATTTTTAAAGGACTCAATTGTGTTGAACATATCAGTGTGTGTGTACACACAAGCACAGCAACCTCAACCGATTTACTGCATTTTCATCATAAACCCCAACGAGGAGCTGCCTCGGAGGTCCTTCTGACCATTCATAAATCCTACATGGACATATCAATGCCACACAACTGTGAGCGCACAAAAACTTATAGTTGTCAGTTCGAGACGTCTCCATTTAAAACAATAAAAACTCAAACACTCAAACGCTGAAACTCATGACGAAGGTGCAGAAACCTCCCAAATTACACAGATTGTTAAGAAACACATCCTAGTGGGCATGCGATACGCTCGGTGGAGCAGAATGTGAGAATTAGGAAAAAGAAAAAAGGAAGACATGGGGTTCATAAAAAAGGAAGCAAAAACTGAAAAAAAAATGTCCTTATTTTTTATCTGGCCTTCTTTTACATCTTGTCCCATTTCTCTAATTGTCAGGAATGCTGACCTCAGCTCACTTGTTTCTGCGCCAATTCTCCCTCTCACTTAATCTAATCATCACACCATTATTTCACTCCTCCTCCCGTCACCTCCCCCCATCCTCCAGAACGACTCCCCCCAGCCTCCATTTCTGCTTAAAGCGACCAACAATGGGTAGAAAGAAGAGTGAAAAGAGGAGCAAACTGATGACTCAGGCTCAGAGGAAAATTATTTCTTCATGATAAAGCTTTGGGGAATATTAGATTAGATTATTTTATCATCCTGCCTTTCATCTGCAAAGAAAAAAAAAACCTTTATAGATATCAAAGCAATTATCAACAATAAAAAGTTGCTGAGTCATGGCTGGGCAAAACCTACTTTTAAATTGTAACAAATTTAATTATTCTGCCCATTTTTACATTAAAAAGGCATCTGTTAATACGTGGAAAATTAAAATTGGTAGGGGAAATGAGTCGAGTATGGTGCTGTGGGGAATAATGTCATCCAGGCAAAGTCTCTGTAGACTAATTAATTAGAATAGTCCACAGTTTTTCACCCGAACTTGAGAGTTTCTGATATGCAACTAAAGATTAAAAGTACAGTGGAAAAACGGAGAGATGAACCCCACATCAGAGTTTACCATTTAAACAAAACGACCCCAGTCTTTCAAATCTTTAAAAATACTGTACAATCTTTGGAGTTCAATATTCTAAGGATTTCAGATGATTAATTCATCTTTTTTTTTATTTTTTAGTTTATTTGCTTCATTAAAATGACTTTAAAAAAACTCTTTCTACTCCAGCCTCTCGCTGGTTGTTGAGCGTAGTCCTCAACAACTCCTTGTCGTTTCATTTTAAATCACCTGTTTTTGCTTTCACTGCAGCCGCCATCACGTTTCGTCTCCGTCCTTCATAACACAGAGAGAAATAAAACTTGGACTGCAGAGGAAGCAGGCTGTGACAGGGGAGAAGAGAGTGAAGAGAGCTGAGGTCATCTTGATCTACAGCTGTCTGGAGTAAGAGGTCAAAGGCCGACATAAAGGCAAAGCTTTCGGGGCCATTCACATTTTAATCACACACACAGGTGGGGTTTTATGTGTGCGCTGAACGTCTTACCACAGCATGTTGTCTGTTACACGTGTTCACAGACTCATAAATCTGCTTAGACTAAATCTGTCTCACAGTTATGCTACACCAAATTCTCATACAGATTCATGAGAGTTTATACTTATGATGTGTTTTAAGTTGTGGCTTATATAACAATAAGCATATCTTGCAAAATTATTAACTTTTCTTAGAAATTCTTGCTCGTTTTATTTTTTTCATTTCAACTAAACATCAGTGTTTTTAACTGGGATCTTAACTTAAACGATAACACAAAACGGTGCATAACTTAACTGCAATTTACAAATTTTACATTTTCAGCTTTGGCTATTTTATTATTCATAAAACAGCCAAGGTGCCGTCAGATTGAACCCCTGCGATCAGGAGTTTTGACGAACTTTGACTAGGTCATTCTCACATGTAGATGTGGTTAAGTATGAACTTATTTCCTCTATTTCATCTGATTAGGTAAGTTTCTCCCATCTGCTGAAAGAGGATATATTATGACTTTCTTCCAACAGATTTGTGACAATGCATATGTCTTGTCAACAACTGTTCCCACTTGAGCTGTGAATCTTTCACACAGACCACATTTTCCAGATTTTATTTTGTAAAATGTTTTCCAGGTGACAAATAGGTGAAACTGTCCGTTGGTCTATCCTAAAAAAAGAAATCCCAACAAAATACATTGAAGTTTGTGGTTGTCATACAGCAAAATGGAAAAATATTTGAAGGTGTATGGATTTGCTAAACCACTGTAAAAGTCTGTTAGAACTGTTGGCTTTTTTTCAGATGTTAAGGGACTGAAAATGACAGCACAACAGAGATCTTCAGATAGGAAAACCTTGAAATACTGGATAAACTTCTTACACCACTGTACACACACGCAAACACACACTCCGAGAAGAGCATAGCAGAGCTTCTGTGTTGTCAGTAACCACCTTGGAGACTCAGAAGTGTCATAAATGTCTTCATATGAAACCCAAAGAGACGAGGCGGGTGGGACGCAAGGGAGGAAGTTGAAGAAGAAGCTTGTTAAAGCGATTTCATTGGACAGAGATACTCTCGAAAAGCACCCAGCTCATATTTTTTATCACCAACTCAAACTGATTCTCAATTCTGTTTTCTTGCACGAAATCCTATTTGAAATGTATTCTGTTGGGCAACATTTTCAATGCTCAAATAATCTAAGTCCAAAAAAACCTCAGACTGTACAGGGTTAGGTATTGTCATAGTTTTACCCAGGAAAAGCCAAACTCTGTGTCTCTCTGGTTACATCCCAGTGTGGAACCACAAGGGCTTTTACATCCCTGCTTTGGCCTGGGTTTGTGTTTGAACATAGCGTTACCACCTAACTGTCTTACAGTAGTGATATAGTGTTTAGACAGGGCCTTTTGTTAGGGTACATCTGGAGAAAATCTCTTCATTGATTCAAATATAATAAGTGAAATTAAAGTTAAGATAAATACAGAATCGGTGTGTGTGTGTGTGTGTGGGGGTGGGTGTGGGGGGTGTGTGTGCGTGTGTGTGCGTGTGTGCGTGTGTGTGTGTGTGTGTGTGTGTGTGGTGTGTGTGTCCCTAAAATAGGTCGTGGTCACATCTGGACTCACTTTCTGGCTTCCTTCTGTGTTTTCTTTTCTCTCTCCATCACTTCCACCTCACCTGAGCTCCCCCGGCTTTTATTCACACCTCTCTAAATATGGCTCTCACGTTCCCCACGTTTATTTCGTCTTTACTTTGAGTGTCTCTATCAATTTGCCACCTCTTTCATCATTTTTCATCCATACTCCTCTTTGGTTGTCTTTAAACCTGGTCAGAAATCTCTGCTCGTAAGCCAGCTGAGGCCAGGCTTTGGGCGTTTTGTCCTACCTGCTGTTTGAGCTGCTGAACCAGGCTGTCCTTCTCTCTCTTCAGGGCTGACACCTCTTCCTGGGTTTTCTTCTTTTTGGATGAGGAGAGCTCCAGCAGAGCGATATTGGCATCCTTCTCGCTTATGGCGGCCAGCAGTGCTTCTTGCCTGTAAACACAACAATACAGGTTAGATGTGTTAGGTGTCTGCTTCCTTGGGCATGCATTGTTCAGAACAGACTGGGTTAACTGAAACATTACTTTAATTAAACCTCAGGAAAAGTAAATTTTTTATCGTCATTGTTTGCAAATTTATTGTGGTCATCAGTCCCACTCGCTTGTCTACACTCGCTTGTCCATGAAGAGTTGCAGGGAGCTGCTGCCTATCTCCAGCTTCCACAAACAAGCTTCCACAAAAATATACATACATATCTGTAACTTACCTATAAAAATACATTTTAGTTGTTACATAAATTTGCATTAGAACTCTCAACTAGGCATAGGCTATTTATATTTCAAAGTTGTGGTTTTAAAAAAAGTTCATATCATTTCTGACATTTAAAATTATTTTACTTCGATGCCTAAAATGCGACCATTGTCCATCAAGCTCAGATTTCCTTTGACTTTATGGATCACAGACTTGCATAACCCTATAAAGAACACAATGACAATTTGTAACTGAATTTAATCGTGTTTGCTCCATATCTTTAGATGACGCTACAATAACCGCAGTAATTGATACGTTCTGATGATATTTATAGAGCAATTATTTTTTATGTTTCAAATGAAAGTAACCTTAACTAAATCCTGTGATACAATGGTGTTTCTTATCTTATAACATGACTACAGTCAATGCAGAAAATTATCCATTTCATTCTTCATGTCAAGTTAAACTTTTCTAAAAGTTACTGTGAAAAATAAAATATGGTATAATATATAAAATTGTGCAGAGGCAGCATTGCTCACTGTCCCCAATGCATTAAAAAAAATAATTTTACGACTATTTATTTCAACAGAATATAAGACTGCAAAATTACAATTATTTTTTATGTACAACAAACATTAAATTCTTCTCAGGAAGAGCAGTTACAAAGACAGATTGTACATGATCAAAAAGCATCAGTGAGTTATAATGGAGCTGTAATGAATCCAGACCTTAAGCTCTTGTTAGATTTACTGTTACAGAGTCTCAGTGCCATCGCTTCAAGCCAGACAATAGTTGGATGGAGGAGCAGCGTCAGTTCTGGGCAGATTTTTGCTTATCCTTATCTGGTCTCTCTTGACCCTCTTTCTGGGATCAGTTGTTCCACTCTTATATTCTGTGCGTTTTTTTGTTTTGTTTTATGGTTTGTACAGAAGAGAGCAGAGAGGATTTGAGGTCGTGTTGTGTGGAAACCAAAACTTTTGTTACTTTCTCCTGTTTTGCTGAGCTTACACTCCACAAAACTGAATATAAACAGAAACAATTAGATGTTATTGTTACTGAGCTAACATCTAGACTTCTAGTGATGTGATTACAAATTATGCCAAATCCAACTGATTTACGTTTAAATAAAAAAGAGGCTTTATTTAAAAAAATAATAATCTCAGATTTTAAATGTTGTATACTTAAAAAAAATACTATCATCGGTTTCTTAAACTGCGAATGCACACATTTCTGAGCTCCATTTCAGTTCTGCTCTATGTCCAGCCTTCCTGTCTCTACCTCGCTTTCCCTCCTGATTCGATTGGGAAGCTGACAGATGAATAACATTCTTTGTGGTCGGAAAGCAACAAGCCGCATCAAATTCATCCCATCAGCCACAAATTGGGCCTAGCTAAGATCCAAAACAGTTAATTCTCAGAATCGTATGTTTTCAGAGGGAATCTAAATCACTGAAGGAATTTTTACAATCCCTCACAGCTGAAGGATAGGCCACACTAGTAACACATCCACATAAATACAAAGAAAGCTGAGCATTATATCAATAGGTCTAACAACAGATCAAACTTTTAGAAAATAATATTTAAGATACATCAAACATGCAAGGAAAGGCATGCATTTCATGACAGATTACAGTAAAGTAAAATAAAATACTTGCATATGTCATGGCCTTGAATATTTTAGAGTGAATGTGGCAAAACGGTTCAAGAATTAAGGCAGGAGAAAGATATTAAAGCAGCTTTGACCAACACCAGATTGTAATAGAAAGATTTGATACCAGCAAAGACCCCAACTGATGCAAGTAATAAACCCACAACAATTGTTTAAGGATGAGCTGGAATAAGTCTGAGTCCTGCCAACTCCAAGTTGAGCTCTGAGAGTCGACTTTTTCAGTGCTGCTTTAGGAACAAATGATCAAACTTTACATAAGCGTTCATAATTCTCTGTTTCATCATGGCATCCACAAACATATGTCCCAGAAATCCACAATGATGGAGAAAAGATTCCTAAAATTCCTATTTTGTTCCTTTTGTATAACACACAATCGCGTTGTTACATAAACACTGACAAAGCCATGCAAGGAGGAATGCAGAGATGATGACAACTAAATGGAGACAGATTGCGTGTTTGGACTATGGGAAAAATATCCTCGGTCAACCTCACTGACCAAACTGTCAGTGGGCAAACTTCCCATTATGCATCTGAAAGGGAGCAAAAAATCTGGGATTGGTAGATCGGCTCCCTGGGCTGGTGAATAAAATCTGTCAGACTGAATTAGATAAGTACTTACCTATGCAAAATATTTCTATTTAGAAATATAAACAAGAGATTTGCAAACGTTGTGATGATCTTTAAATCTAAACACATACTTTTAGAGATAAGCAGAAACCAGTATGTTGCAGTTTGCGTGTCCTTGCTCCAATACAGCTGATTCAGACGGCTGAAATGACTTCTCAACTTCTTAGCAAGTAGTATTTAATTCTGGAGATGATGCAATTTTTGAGTCAAGTGGGGTGAACAAAGCAAACATCTAAAACACGGATGAATGGATGGAATGATGGGAAGCATCACTGAGAAAAAAAATGGATGATTGACTGGTGGATTTACGGACGGAAGGATAGAACAAATTGATAGTTAGACAGACGGGCAGTTCTTTCTATTTCCTGTCAATAAAATTCCAGATTTGCTCAGTTTGCGCAGGAATACTAGTAAATAAAGAGTGTTGGATATAAAATTAGTCCCTGATTATAAAAAATAATTGAAATGTATGTCCTTTTATGTGAAATAGGAATTAATCGGTTCATACACAAAAGTATTTTCTATTCCTTTCTGTGGACAATCAGAGACAGTGTCTCCTTTCACTATTTCGTTCCACTGATAGAAAAACTAAGATTTGCACAAAGAAAGACTAATGGAACATTATTCTCATTAAAGCTAACAGAGCGTCTGGTTTTATACCATATTTGAGGTTACCTGCCAGAACTCGGCACTTATAAATTGCTGGTGATAATATTATATTCATTCCAGATGCACTTGTCTCATTCTGGGTCTCTCCCTTCATCTCTGTCAGACTCATACACAAACACGTACTTAAGACACTCGACTTGGCCTTCTCAGCTTGCAAAGCTAAAACACGTGCTCTTGACAAGCGCTGGCTGCGGCTACTGCTGTTGCTATGTAATCAGAAAGAAACTGTTTCAAGTGCAGCAATCTTTTGGTAAATCATGAGATGATTCTTGTGTCAGATGGCACTTAGAACGCTGAATGCTCCTGGCACTGTCTGCGATATGTCATTATCACGGAAACTGGAAAAAGACAATGGAGCGAGCATTGCGAGGGCGAAAGATTCCCAGAGGATAAGGATCCTTGGATGTGAAACTCTCCTTTCAAGTTTAAGGAGCAGAGCAGAATAAAGGATGGACCACTAAAAGTAACAAAGAAATAAAAGCTTTTCAGAAAGGTTAACACCAAGATACTCTTACTTCATTATTTGCCAACTTCTTTTGACTGAAATGCTGTGCAACAAATTCCAGAGAATATTCATCGTAATGTGCAATTGTTGGTTTCCACCATTTGCTTATCACAGCCCCCTAATTCTCCTCAGAAATGATTGAATTTGTCCATCACTGACCATAATTTATGCTCCAAAAGGTTTTATTGTAACTGTGACCACAACAACAACAACTTCCTGTGCTTTAGTTATGTTAGCCCGAACAATTTAGGGTTACATCAGCTCAAAACACAGGGCACCTTCTTGTCTGGATCAATCTCCTTATTTCATGTTGAATCAACAAAAGTCACATGGTAAATGTTCAGTGTTGTCCAGACAAACAATCGAGCGATTTCGGCAACCTTTCTTTGAAAAACAAAACAAATCACAAGTACAAACAACACGGCGTTATTACACAGAGAGGAGCTGAGACACCAATCATTAAGTGTTGCAATTTTCAGAGCAAACTTTTTTTTTGAACCAGAGAGAACATTTTTTGTGTTAGCTTTAGTCATGAGATTACACGTATTACGGTAAATTTGCTATGGGAATAATTCCTATTTTTTCCAAATCTCTGCAAAACTGCAAATGTTTGAGTACAACCAGAAAATCTGAGTTCACACTACTGTATGTAATTTCTTCTCCACCTTGATAAAATGCTTAAATAATGTACACATTGCTATCTTTATTGTTATTATAAAGGCAGCAAGAAAAAAAAAGACCTTTTCAATTTCTCTATAAATGATTGTTTGTGTTTGGAGCTGCGCATTGATGCAGAAGGTGGCACTAATGTCTTTGAGCAAAAAGATCCTGGACTCGTTCTGTAGGAGTTTACATATTCACTCAGTGCACCCATGGTTTTGCTCCTACTTCCTCCCAAAATCCAGAACATGAGTATCCTGAGCTGCCACTGTTTGAATGAGATGAAAAAACTTCACACACATTAACAACAGGTGTTGATAACTTACTGTTATCTGATAACAGCTCAAGCTCAAGTCCAGCAAAAGAGTACAAGCTTTTAGAGTCATGCACAATAAGTCTAGTTTATAATTTGCTCATTTCTCGGTGCTGCTAAAAAGTGTAAAATCCTTTTCAGTGCACAAAGAAAACATGAATTTTATGAGTGTTTATATAAAAAGTTTATAGTGAACTGGTAACAGGCTGCAAAATGTTCCCATCAGGTGGTAAAAGTGGCGTAAAGTAAAGCAGTCATGTTTTTATAAGATCATTTCATTGGTTAGACACAACTTAACAA